AGGAAGATTTAAATTTATAAGCATGTTGAATAGATTTATAACGTTATAAAAGTAAATAACGTTGCTTGACGTCAATCTACAATTAAACTATGAATGATGTACAGCAATATATATATATATACAGTACAATAAAGTGTAGTGATGAAACAAGTAAATGTCCTTCCAACGTATGTATATATATACCTCCCACTATTTAACGTAATTCAGTGAACTGATTTTGCGACTTAACCAGTTTTTTAAGATTAGTGTTTTCAACTCGAACTATATAAAATATATTCAAAACAATTCATATTCCTTTCCAGCCAACTTCTCGATTTTTGGCTCCTCTTCAGTGAATATAAGTTTTTATATTGTTCGGGCGATTAATTGAGGAATAAGCCAAGGATATGAACATTGTATAGGCCATAAACCGAAGATTAAATCTTTTAGTGACGAAATGTCAAATATTCCAAGAATTACAATGACAATAAATTATTATGTTTTAAGAAACATTTAAAAAATTTCAAAGTATACGAAATTCTTATCTTGTAAAATAAAATTGAAATAAATATTAACTTACATTTATGATTTATATCTGGGGTATAAAAGGAAAATGTTTACAATTCAATAAAAAACCCCCTCCCCCACGGGAAGAGGTTTTTAAAGCTTCCACGAATTTCTTATATTATACAGATTTTTAATTGTCTTAATGTCCTTGGATTTTTATAAAGGAAAACATATTGCTGTGTATCAAGTCAGAGGCTTGAAATTTTAAACGAAAATTTTACAATATTGAGGAGGAAGAGAGCCTCAGGATAGAGGCAAATTTACTATAAGACTTGTTCCTAAGGTGTGTGTAAAAAGTGATACCTGTTTATTTATCTTGAGTTGTTTAGTGTTTTTTCTATTATTCGGATTTATAATTTAGGAATGTGAACCATTACTATGGTAACCCAAAGCTTATAAGGTTTTTTTACTACCATATTCATCTATATAACAATAAACTTTCACAGATAATTTAATTGCGAAACCGGATGCGCCTATATTTTTATCCTCTTGTATAACAATCGTTTAAACACTAACCATACCAGGAGTTTTTAAATAATTAATTGTAGTTATTTAATTAAATCATCAGATATTTCAAAACTCAAAACTTAGTTCACTAAATTTAAAAATTGTCGTTATACTTGTAGCATAGCAAAGGCACGTTATAGCATCGTACGGACCAGTGAAATGTATTATTTATTACATTACATTTAAAAGAAACGTAAAAAGTCTGATGATTTGTTCTAATTTATATTGTTATATAATATATTATCTTGTTTTTGTCATTAACAAAAACAAGTTTTTCTACATTATCGTGATTTTTATATGACGTAACTAAAGAAAATTTAATCTAATTGTCGTTTTCTTTTATAAAATTTCAGTTTTCTTTTTGATTTATCATACAAGAAACGGTAAATTAAATAAATATAAAACGTTATAATTTAATTAATATAAGTAAAAATTTTTCTTATCAAACTAAGCTATACATTTTATGTGCTACTTTATATATCCGTCACGTACACCTAAATAATATACATTAAAAAAATTTTATGATATGAATGCCCTTCGAGTCTCCTTAGACGTAACTATAACACTAAACAATAAAAATGTTTTAAAATTTAAATTTTCCAATCTTACGAAACATTTAGTACCTTCCTGTTACAGGTAAATCGTAGCTACAAAAGTTTCTAAACATAAAATATCACTTTTATTGAGTAATTCCTCTTCTTCAATTGTAGAAATTTAAAATATATAATGCTTAACAATGTATAATTCTATAATACATTAAATCAATAAAAAATGTAATTTGCATTTAAGAAAATTTATTTACAAAATTACACTTTTTTTATACTAATACATTGTTTTANTGGTATTATATACCTATATATCAACTTAAAATGTTTTAAAATAAATGTCAAAACAGACAATAAATTAAAAGTGTGTTCATCTTTCTTGTTGTAGTCACCTTTCTTTAGAGACTTCTTGTCATCCTCGTCAATATATAAAACGTTAGAATCGTTACTTTGCCGGCTATTATATATATAATAACAGAGGAAAAGTATGAGGATCGGTGAAAAAATGCCCCTTCGAAGACTTTTAAACTTTTGGACTCAATCGTCGAAAAATGAAAAAAATTTATGGGGATTTCTTCTGTATGTTTGGTTGCTACTGTGGGGAGTAACACGATATTGTGCATACACTTTAAAGCTTAATAACTACTGTGCTTTTCCTGAAAAATTTCTAAAATTTTGCATACTAGCTAGTGTATAAAGGGCATTTATGGTATTAAATTTCGGTAGTGAAAGATGGGATGAGAAAATAGACAGGGTTGCGTAATATCTGGCGAGGTGTCAAACTCTTTATTAGCATTTGTATTTAAATAAAATTCAGATTTACTTTATAAATTAAGATTTTCGTCATTTTATAATAATTAGTAATATAAAACGTTTAATAAGCATAGTAGAGTATTTTTTGAGTTTACATTTATAATTTATACTAGATATAAATTCAAAATCTTTATTTGTATTTATTTTCAGTTGATTTTGTAAGTTTGAATATTTTGTAATATATTTACAACGTAATAACACATTGTCATAGCAAATTTTTTGAATATTTGGCATTCAAAAATGTATTAAATAAAACATAACTTATGTTCTCTTTTTAAATGTAATTTATGAACATTAAAATATTGCATTTGTAGCTTAACTTTTTTAATTATCAATTTAATATTAATTGGTAAAATAGGTTACAATTACCTCGATCATATAAATGATAGCGGTTTAAAAACGTTCCGTCCTAACTTGTTTAAGGTTGATGACGTAAAGAGGGTTAAAGAAGTGACGTCTGCACGAAACTTATTCTTTATTATACAGGCAAGGTTTGTGGTGTTATGTTGTGGACGGCCTTGTCCATAAATTAAGCGATCAACAGAAGCTCATTAATTAAATTAAAGGTACGTCATACGATAGCGTTAAATTACAAATACTATTCTATTAGATATTACAACTGATTGAATATCTTCAATTTTGTATTTTACGCAAGAACCCTTCGTAAACAGAAAGGTGAGTAAATTCGTATAATGTTTATAGTTTAAGCTTTTTACTTTCCCCCCTGCTTTAAACAACAGGGGAAAATGAAATTAGTCAATATAATGTCCACTCCTCCAAAATTTTTACAATTTTGGGGTCAGGGGACTTTGAAACGTCGAGTAATGCAAAATAAAAAAAAATTGAGGGTATTTTCCTGTATGTATGGATGTGTATGGGGGCAGGATTTTATTCACTTCGTTTGAATCATAATAACTCACGTGCTTTTGTCAAAAGATTTTGAAATTTTACAGGAATGTTTGTACATTATCGGCGATGACGTTATTAAACTTTAATGGTTCAAAGTCGAGGGGTAAGCAGATAGAGAAGGGTCTGTGTCGTATTTCGAGTAAAGTCGGACATAATTTTACTCGTTATTAGCATTTACAATTTCTTTTTAATTAAAAATTATATAAGATTTTGTCTTAGCAAGAATGTGTCTTATACACAAGGAATGTTATTATATTGTAATTAATTTTGAAAGATGCATAGTTTTTAGATATGCCTTACTAAGGTGAGTTTATTTTCAACATGTTAGTACAGTGTTTTTCAACGTTCTTAAATAAGCGACCCCTTTACAAGTTAAAAAATTCTGGCGACCCCCAAGGCCATATTAAAACTGTCGGTGATTTTAAAAACTACGTATTTAAGTTTTTCTCTGTTGAGACCTAAATATCGATAAAAAAAACCAATTGTATTGTAAAATAAACAGGCACAGCCTTCTCACTGAGATTGCAGGGTTTTTTTTATTGTAGTGTAGGTCCTACAAGCACTTGTCTTTTTCTTTTACTCGCGACCCCTCGTGTAAGGCTTGGGGTCGCGGGTACACTTCTATAGTACGTTGCAAGGACATTTGCCTCTTTTATCATAACCAGTTTTCCGTACGTAAGTCTATATGTTTTTTTTTTATTATTTCAGTTTTAAAAGTAAACGTATAATTGAAGTTTTAATATATTTAAACATAATTTTCTTTTACATAGCAGAGGGAAAGTAAGGCGATCGATCAAAAAATGACCCCCTAAACTTACATTTTCAGAGTCAGAGGTTGTCTGAGACAATCTCAGATTCTTGAGATGTCGAGTTGGAAAAAATGCAAAAAATTCGGTTTTTTTTTCTGTACGAGTATGTATATGTATGTATGAGGAAAAAGCGTGATTATCTTCACCCTTTTTTGAAGCTTAACAACGCGTTAATTTTTGTGGAAAATTTCTGAAATTTTGCAGGTAGGTTTGAGTATTAACGGTTCTAATGCTGTTAAATTTTGGTGGGTAAAGATCGCAGGGGTAGGGAGAGAGAGAGAGAGAGAGAGAGAGAGAGAGAGGTCGTGTGTCGTATTTCGAGTAGGTCGGACTTAATGATGATTTTACTCGTTATTGGCATTTACTAATTTTATAAAACTCATATCGATTCTCAAAATTAAGCTTCTTGACATTTTATAATAATTAATTTAATAATATAAAACGTTTTTTAACAGTAAAATATCATAAGAAATGGACGCTACACGCAGTTTTCAATGTTGTTACCTGAAAAGTTATGCAACTCTTTACTGGGATTTTTATTTAAATAATTACTTTCATCCGCTATTTTGTAAAATAGTAATAATATGAAAATATTTACATTAACACAGTCCCGGTATTAGGCATATATAAGCTGTCAATACATTTTATTGCTTACATAGTTTAATATATCCACTAATATGTCATTAAATATCCCTGGCAATAAACTGCATATATGTTTATTAAATTTACTGTTAAACCACTGATATAAATAAATAATACATGCTCGTTTTACATAATCGATCAAATTAATTTACATTTACGTCATCATTTCCGTTATTATTAATGTAATTAGAGATGTACTGAAACAATTCTTATTGTTTTACCTATAATACAAACCTAAAGGTTCGTTCCCTATGAAGTAAGTCTCATTTACTGATTTTTAAACAAGTATATCTTTAATTAATAATTTAATTCTAATTTTTAAATTATATTTATTAAGTTAAGTTCTTCGTATTGTTTAAGCAAACAATTCTCACTTATACGTGATTAATATCCTATGCAATATTAACTATTAGTAATAAAGTCTTATAAATTTAAATGGTTTATCCCTTTGTTTATGAAACTATAATTTGAATGACCAGCTACTAATTATGACATCGTCACAAGTCAGGACCATTTATCTCCAGACTAAGGAAGAACAGACAGACACAGACATTAGTGGAAATTTATAGATCTAAAATTTCTTAAATTTGTAGCCCAAAACTTGCTGTAAATTTAAATAATGGCATGAAGAGCGTAGCCATGTAACTTTAAAGTCACGTATAGTAATTATTAAAGTTTTAATTTTAATTTAAATAAAACATTTACCATATTTTATTATCAGATGAATATAAAAGATTCGATATTTCCGGAAGAGAAAGACGAATTTCCTTGGGACGAAAAGGCACTTATTGCTTTTAAAAAAGCTATCAGTAAGTAAATACCTCGTATGTTTTTTTTTAAATTATAATAAATGCTAATACTATAGAGTTTCTGTAATCAGACATATATCGGATCTGCCTGTGTCGGATTACTGGATTTTGTATGTAAGCACAGGAGATATAGAAGTATTTTACGTACTGGATAATAAAAAATGCACTTAGTTTATCGTATTGATCACGATTTTTGACTATTTAAACAACTGGCGAGTGACAGTATACACGTACTCTACTGTGTAGTAAATCAGATTCACTCTGTCATCTGCATGACAATGAATAATGTGACAATGTCACGTGCTCCACCCTGCGTAGTGTCGGATAACAGAGACTCTTCTGTATGTTTAAAAAACACTATTTTGTAAGGTTTCCATATCTGGTCTTGTCTTTCATCTATCTAAATCTGTTCTCGAATTTAAGGAAGGACAGACATCCGGACGGTTTTATAATTGAAATGTATCATTAATGTCAAAAATGAACATTAACATATTTTATTAATGCACAGAGTATTAGTTTTACGGGCATATTTCTATTGCTTAATGAAAGAGCAAACGGACAAATTAAATATTCATAGTAAATTTCCAGGATAATGTGAGTTTTCATAAATAAAGCAAGAAAATTAATACTTTTAAAACATTTTAACATTACAGTAATAATTTTAAAAAATATACCTAATAAACATATTTTTTATTTAAATTAGAAGATCAAAGGATTAAATGTCGTATGGATGACATTTTTCTTCTTGGATTTCTTCGCTCTAGAAAATTCGATTTGCAGAGATCACTTCAGCAACTGAAGAATTATTATAATATAAGAGTAAACTACCCTGAATATTTTAAGGATCTTCTTCCTTCCAAGTTGGAGCATGTTTTCAATTTGAATGTAGTGCAATATTTACCAAGTTCTGACCAGAATGGAAGCTATATTTATATTTTTAGATTTGGTAAGTGGGAATATTATTATTCTTTTAACACCTACAACAGAAATGATTTACGAATAACTATAATGCCACGAATAATTTAGTTTGCAAAATTTTTCAGTATAAAGTAATTGTACAGAGTAAATTTAAAAACTAGCGGAGAAAGAAGACATGAATCAGACTGAATGGAAAGAATCTATGTTAAATGAAAGGAATGCGGGTTAATATGGGAGTTGATACATGAATCTGATCACTTTCGGTGTTTTCTTTTACATTTTCTAAACGTTTTTATAGTATGTTTATTATTAATAATTATATTGTTAAGTTTTTTCTAAATTTCATTACTTGATCTTAATTCTAGCGATGGAAAGAGAAACGTTAATCACTTCTTTCCTTCAATCTCTTTCATCTGACATAAACCCTTTCAGCTCAGGCTTACTCGTGTCTACTCTTTCGGCCACAAACTATAAGAATAAATATAAATTAAATGTATGTTTAGATACCAAGTATTTTGCTTGATGTTTCGGAAAACAGATCATCTCGGGCGTTAGTAGATTCGTCCGTTGTTAATCTGTAAATATTTTGTAAAACTTACGTTTAAATTTACTTTGTTGTTTTGAATTTCTTTTACAGGCAAATGGGATACTTCTGCTGCTAGTGTGACTGATGTAATACGTGCTATAATGCTTTTTACGGACTTACAATTGAATTTTCATCGAACTCAAGTTAACAAAATCGTTTGTGTCATAGACGCAGCAGGATTAAATTTGTTACATTTCTATCATTTCTCACCCAGAGCCATCAGTGCCTTAGTAATGCTTTTGGTTGTAAGTAGCTTCTTGTGATATAAATATAACGCAAAAGTATAGATATAAATTAGCATAAAATATCAATAAATAATATTAATTGGAATAAAAGTTTGCATTCTAGTGTTAAAGAATAGAAATAACAATAATTATTTTATTCATAAAACAGGAAGACTAGTAAGTACTTCCTGTATTCGAGTAGAATAAGTACAGTAAAACCTATTTCAAACGGAACGTGAATAAAGCAGAACCTGCATAAACGGGATTAACTCTTTGGAACGGCAAGATTTTTTGTTTAAATAAAAAACCTGTTCAAAACAGAACATGCCAAAACCTAAAAAATATTCTTCATTGCGAGATTCCATTGAGTACATTTAATACAATAATTTTTTCTCTCACATATCTTATACGAAGATTCTCAACAATTCTCTGGCAATTAGAGCAAATGGGTTATAGATGTAACTTAATTTACCTGACTTTCCTGAATTTCAAAATGTCTTCTCTCACGAAACAACTACACTATCGAAAAATACGAATTCTATTTTATAGCAAAGAAACATTTGTTGTTACTTAATATTATTTCAATTATTTTCTTTAATAGAAGGATTCTTATCCCATTCGATACAAGGCATTGCATTATGTGAATATGAATGTCATAATAAAGGCTATTTTAAGTGTTTTACTTCCACTTCTACCACACAAACTCCGAAAGAGAGTAAGTAATGCGTTTTGCCATTAGATAATTTACATTTCTGAACATCAAACTTCAATACATTCTTTTTCTATACAAGTTTCAACAAATTATAAAAGTTATATAATCTTTATTATAAAAATAACGTTTAAATTACAGGTACATTTGCATTCTAATGTTGAAACTTTGCACGAATTCATCAGTCCAGATTGTCTGCCTTTAGAATTTGGAGGAAATTTGCCAAGTTTCGATCCTACTGAAGCCAATAATATGCTTAGATCTAACGAAGAATTCTTTAAAAGAAACGAAGAATACGTGAAATTGTACGAAGAAGAAACAAATAAAAATTTCAGCCAAGGTACATTTAGATACGTCGGTGAAGATTTTGAAGAAGAAAAGATTGAAAAATTTATAGAAAAATCAGAAGACAAATTTAAAAGTCATTGTGACGATCCAGAAGCTTTTTTAGCTTGTATGCAAGAAGATTCCGAACTTGAAATGACTCGTCTTTAAATCAGTTTTGACTTATGTATCCAAGTAATAGATAGTTACTTACTACTTCTATTTGTAAAATAATCTCTAGAAATAAAACACTAGAATAATAAATAACTTTCTATTTATTAAAATAATATAATAGACGATTAGTTCATTAATAGGCTATAAGTAAGTATTGCAAATTGCAAACTATAAGACTTGTTTCTAAGGTGTGTGTAAAAAGGATATATAAAGAAAAGGTAATATTTATTTATTTATCTTGAGTTTTTTGCGTTTTCTATTATTCGGATTTATAATTAATTTAAAAATGTACTTATAAAGCTTAAAAATTTAAAAGCTTATAAAGTTTTTTACCGCCATATTCATCTATATAACAATAAAATTTTACAGTTAATTTAATGAGCTAATTGAAAAATTTTAACTGATACTAGTTAATCACGCCGCTAATGTAACATGATGTACTGTGTACTTGATGGCGGCGGTGTATGTAACTCACATATAACTTTTACCTTTCTGTCTATTCCAGTAATAAAAAGTACGGTTTCCCATTAGAAATAGCTTATAATTTTAACTTTAAAATAATCTTTACCTTAGACCTAGACAATAAGATCAAAGGTACGGTACATCTGGTTGTGAAATTTCCTGTCTTTTCATTTCTGGGGTCAAAAATATGTGTTTCCATTTAAAAAAAACAGACTTGACCTCCAAATCACCTTTAAGGTCAAGGTCAAGGTCACATCTGAGGTCACCAATTGATTTGTCCCTCGACAACCTACAACTTTTGTCTATATTTTTTCCTAAATAATAAGATCCAATTAAGTTATTTCAATGTCTGAAGATAAAAAATACATCTTGTATAATAATACACCTTGTATAATAGATTTAACAACCAGCATGCGTTAATTAAACAAAAAATTTAAAAAATTAAGAAATACATTTTAAAAGGTTAAATATAACCTAACTGACGAAACCGGATGCACCTCAATTTTTATCTTCTCGTATAAGAATCGTTTAATTTAAACACTAACTATACCAGGATTTTTTAATAAATATTAAACGCTAGAATTTAATTAATATAAGTAAGAATTTTTTTATAAAACTAAGCTATACATTTTATGTGCTACTTTATATATCCGTCACGTACACCTAAATAATATACATTAAAAAATTTTATGATATGAATGGCCTTCGAGTCACCTTAGACGTAACTATAACACAAAACAATAAAAAATGTCTTAAAATTTAAATTTTTCAATCTTACAAAACGTCTAGTGTTACAGGTAAATCGTAGATACAAAAGATTTTAAACGTAAAATATCACTTTTATTGAGTAATTCCTCTTCTTTGTTTGTAGGAATTTAAAATATATAATGCTTAACAATGTATAATTCTATACCACACAAAATCAATATAAAAGTAGACTTTTGTAATACTAATACATCGTTTTATTAACGTTTGGAGTGGCACGATTTTTTGTGCATTCTCTTTAAAGCTTAATAAGTACTGTGCTTTTTCTAAAATAATTCTAAAATTTAACATACTAGCTTGTGTATAAGGGGCATTTATGGTATTAAGTTTCGGTAGTGAAAGATGGGATGAGAAAATAGAGAGGGTTGCGTCATATCTGGAAAGGTGTCAGACTCGTTATTAGCATTTCTATTTAAATAAAATTCAACTTTATAAATTAAGATTTTTTGTCATTTTATAATAATTAGTAATGTAAAAAGTTTAATAAGCGTAGTAAAGTATTTTTTGAGTTATTTACATTTATCATTTATACTAGACATAACTTCAAAATTTTTATTTGTATTTATTTTCAGTTGATTTTGTAAGTTTGAATATTTTGTAATATATTTACAACGTAATAACAGATTGTCATAGCAAATTTTTTGAATATTTAATATTCCAAAATGTATTAAATAAAACATAACTTATGTTCTCTTTTTAATGTAATTTATGAACGTTAAAATATTGCATTTATAGCTTAACTTTTTTAATTATCGATTTAATATTAATTACTAAAAAACAGGTTACAATTATCTCGATCATATAAATGATAACGGTTCAAGAACGTTCCGTCCTAACTTGTTCTAAGATTGATGACGTAAAGGGGGTTGGAGAAATGACGTCTTCACGAAACTCGCCCTTTATTATACTGGCAAGATTTGTGGTATGTATATTGTGAACGGCCTTGTCCATCATTTAATTGATCAACAGAAATCCATTAACCGAAAGATACGTTAAATTACAATCACTTTTCTATTAGATATTACAACTGACTAAATATCTTCAATTTTGTATTTTATATAAGAACCCATCGTTAATAGAAAGGTGAGTAAATTCGTATAATGTTTGTAGTTTAAGCTTTTTACTTTCTCCTCTGCTTTAAACAACGGGGGGGGAAATGAAATCGGTCAATATAATGACCTCTCCCCAAGATTTTTACATTTTCGGGGTCAAGAGACCTTGAAACGTCCAGTATTGAAAACGTAAAAAAATAAAAATAGCGTTTATTTGCCTGCATTTACGGATGCGTGTGGGGGTGGTCAGGATTTTGTTCACCCCATTGAACCTTAATAACTCACGTGTTTTTTTGGATGCGTGATTTATGGATGCGTGTGGGGGTGGACAGGATTTTGTTCTTCCCCTTGAACCTTAATAACTCACGTGTTTTTTGGATGCGTGATTTATGGATGCGTGTGGGAGTGGTCAGGATTTTGTTCACCCCCTTGAACGTTAATAACTCACGTGTTTTTTGGATGCGTGATTTATGGATGCGTGTGGGGGTGGTCAGGATTTTGTTCTTTCCCTTGAACCTTAATAACTCACGTGTTTTTTGTCAAAGGTTTTTGAAATTTGACAGGAATATTTGTATATTATCGGCAATGATGTTATTAAACTTTAATGGTTCAAGGTCTAGGGGATAAGAAGGTAGAGGACGGTCCTGTGTCGTATTTTTAGTAAGGTCGGACTGAATTTTACTCGTTATTCGCACTTCCATTTTGTCTACTAAAACTGTTGCTCGTATGCGTTACGGGAAATGAAATAAAGTACCAAATTCACCAATATAGCGGTATAATATGTTAATTAATATAAAAACTGTAAAGAACAGTAAAGAATTACTTTAACAGATAACTAACGTTTAATACTTCTGCTGTTTACATAAAGACATTTAACGTTTTGATATATAAAAATATAAATACACGAGTAACAGTTACTAATTTTAAAACAAATGTAACTTTCATTACAATTAGCATTTTAATTTTATAATTAATATATAATAATGTAATGCGTATTTCCTTTATGGTTTACGTAAATAATTCTCATTTGTATGTGATCAATACAATATGCCACGTTAAATATTATTAATAAAGTATTATATATGAATATAGGTCATTACGTATAATGTCTTTATAAATTTATCTTAAGAAATCTTTATGTAACAAGAATGAAAAAGTAGTTTAATTCGAGTTTATCTACTTCAAAATAAAATAAAATAATAACAATTTCCTTTGTATATGACTTGTTAAATATGTACGTTAAGATCGAAGCCAACTGATTATACATGCAATTGTAATAATTTTTAACGTTTAATTTTCAAATTATTTAAAGTTTTATATGGTATAATGCAACGAAGAAAACATTTTAATGATATATTTTTTTATTTCAATTAGAAGATCAAGGGATTAAATGTCGCATGGATGACATTTTTCTTCTGGGTTTTCTTCATGCTAGAAAATTCGACTTGCAAAGATCACTTCAGCTGCTTAAGAATTATTATAACATAAGAGTAAACTATCCTCAATACTTTAAGGATCTTCTTCCTTTCAAGTTGGAGCATGCTTTGAACATGAATGTTTTGCAATTCCTTCCAAATCCTGACAAGGATGGAAGTTATATTTATACTTTTCGATTTGACAAGTAGGGATTATATTAAAGTAAAATAAATAATTGTTTTGTTTAATTTATAATTTGTTAGACTGTATTTTTGAATATTTAATATTCCAAAATGTATTAAATAAAACATAACTTATGTTCTCTTTTTAATGTAATTTATGAACGTTAAAATATTGCATTTATAGCTTAACTTTTTTAATTATCGATTTAATATTAATTACTAAAAAACAGGTTACAATTATCTCGATCATATAAATGATAACGGTTCAAGAACGTTCCGTCNTCAAGTTGGAGCATGCTTTGAACATGAATGTTTAGCAATTCCTTCCAAATCCTGACAAGGATGGAAGTTATATTTATACTTTTCGATTTGACAAATAGGGATTATATTAAAGTAAAATAAACAATTGTTTTGTTTAATTTATAATTTGTTAGACTGTAAACGTATCAGTAAATAACGTTGAAATTTCTTATTTTATTATCAAAATTATCAAAGCTGTGTTTATACTTTATTTCTCTTTAGTCAATTGGGATACTTCTATTCCAAATATAAACGATGTATGGCGTTGTACATTGCTTTTCGTGGACTTTCAATTGAATTTTCATCGAACACAAGTTAAGAAAATCGTTTGTATCATAGACACAGTAGGAATGAATTTGTCACATTTTTATCATTTCTCACCCAGAGCCATAAAGCGCCTTAATAATGCTTATTCCTGTGAGTAAATTGTGATATAAACGTAAACATAATATGTATTGATAGATATAATCTAATATAAAATATTACCATAATTATGATACAGAATAATAAACATCTCGTCTGCATTTTTTTGAATTCATAAGAGTAATAATAGACAAGGTATACAGTGTTATTTTATTAATGCAATAATCAGACCTTTAATGTGATCAGCAATAAAAAGGGATAGATAAGAGATTAAAGCATTATAAATATTGTTTAAAATGATATTTTATATAAATGTTTTAAATTATTATTATTTTTTTCACAGATTCTTATCCTATGCGATACAAAGCTATACATTATGTGAACATGAATGTCATAATAACTGTTTTAAGTGTTTTACAGCCACTTTTACCTGAAAAACTCCGGAAAAGAGTAAGTAATGGCAATTTTCTTATTAATTTATGAACGTAGAATAATGTATTTAACAGTTTATCTAATTATATTCTATATCATTTTACTTTGTTATGTTGTATATTTTTGATTATAAAACTTTAAGAAATTTAAAAAAAATGTTTCACTTTATTCTTTTATTTCTCAATTTACTTACTAAATTTTTAATAGTTTATTCATTGCAAATTAACCGAATGTGTCCTAACCTTTAATTCGTTAAATTTCTTTTAAACTTTGTCTTTAAATGCGAAAATTATACCACTAACAATTGTTCAGTAGCTGACTCATTTGTTATTCGTAACTAAACAATTATTATTGTTTTATATCCAATTCAATTTATTTTGTTTTATTATGACAAACAACAGTTTTATTGCCTGAAAAATAGAGCCTGATATAATTTTTTTAGGTGTCGTGATTCAATGTTTCCAATGTCAGCTCTTATATTTAAATAAATGTGTTCCTTTTTGTGAAATAATATCACCATTGCTCTCTAGCTTTTACGGGTAAAGATAAATGACCAAACTGACCAGTAGAGTGCTATACAGTTGAAACTCCCTATAACACTGTTGATTTTTCCGTTTTATATGAATTCCATGTTGTACGAGTCACTTAGATTTTACAAATATGTGAGCTATTCCCAACCGGGCACACGTATTTGTAAAACTTAAGTGACTCATACAACATGGAATTCATATAAAACGGAAAAATCAACAGTGTTATATAGGGATCGACTGTAATATGATACTTTAAAAATTGTAAAAAAAAGTAGAAAGTAATAGTTTAACTTATAATTAACATTCAATACTTCTACTGTTTAGGTTAAGGCGTTTGACTTTACTTTACGTCCTTAATATAAACAGGTAAAAATGTATACAAATATAAGCCATTGACTATCGTTTGCAATTGTACAAAGATAAATTAATATTAAACACTGGGTAAAAGTTACGTTAATTTTGTAATAAAAAACAATGTTAATAATTCGTATAATTCACTTTAAATACTTCATTTAAAAAATTTAACAATGAAACAATTTTCTCAACAATGTTTTGATTCTTATTATTAAATATACAATATGGAAGACAATGAAGATGGTTTTGTGTATTGTAAAAACTTTATTTAACAATTATTTCGGAATTTATCGTTAACAATTTCATAGGGTTCTGATGTTTCCGTTGATACGTATAATTTTCTACAATAGTTCAATGCACTGATGTACTGTACTGTACAGTACGCCTTCATCTGATATTGGACTAGGAACTCAAATTCAATGCCTGTTGATACAGTTACGTGATTGATTTTGCATTCATTACGACAGGTTTGATAGCTAATTAGCAATAAATTTATCACAAATTACACGCTTCATCTGCCCTAGGCCACGAGAAATCTCGGCTTCAATAAGTTTGCATTATATAGTGTATAATAAGTGGAAATTTTATCAATAGAAGATTTTACGGTTTCTTCAGTTCCATTAAAATACATCCTTACAAATACCCGTAATGTTCACTACTGAAATATTATCTAATTTCTTCGTTGTATTAATTCAATTACATATCACACGTCGTCGCTATAAACAACACCATTACATAACATGAACACCGGTTTCCATTCTATTGATAGATCCAAACCTAAGTCCTCATCCTGGAAAGTGAAACGACACTTTCGGTCCAATCATAACAATTCCCAAACTAACAGGAGCCAATCAGTAACAAGATTGAAATCTTTTTTTTTTCTAGTTGGCTATTGTTAGTCTGGAAACTGTTGCATTTAACCATGGGCGTAGCGAGGGGGGAGCCTGGGTGGGCACGGCCCTCCCCAGTGAACCTGAAAATCCTGGTGCCCCCCAGAAAATCACAGCTGAAAAAGTGTTAAGCCGATTTGGAAACAACAAAAAACTTAAAGCTAAAAATATTGAATACAATAGAGCCTCGATTATCCGACCCAATTGGGGACTGGGGTTGGTCGGATAATTGAAAAGTCGGATAACCGAAAAGTATGAAAAAATCCATTATTAGTGTAGTATATTATTATATCCCATGTAACTAGTATATTAGTATATCGCTATTAACCTACTTCGCGTTGAATTTTCATCGATGTTAAGCCTAACAAAAATTTTTTAAAATAATAATCGTCGCTATTGTATCGTTAAAAATTAGAAAATTAAGCCTCGTTTAAATACTGGCTCCCTTTCATGGTCGAATGAGTGTTGCCAGCTAAAACACGTAAAAATAATATTAAAGTAGCCAAGACATAGCCAAATATTGTAGCGCCACATCACTAGCGGACATTTGAAATTTGCCGACTGGGAGGGTCGGTTAACCGAGGTGACGGTTAATCGGAGGTCGGATAATCGAGGCTCTACTGTACTAATAAAAAAAAAGGTCCACTGTGCCCAATGTTATGAATAATTTGAAATAATTTAATTTTGTGTTAGGTTGGCCTCTACTAGGCCCCCACAACAAAACTCTGGCTACGCCCATGCATCTAACTATTAACTAATGTATAAACTTTAATTTTAGTTATACAGATTATTATGCAATTCTATATCTAATTGTATTATTATTATTATTATTATTATTATTAAATATGCCCCATTTAAAGTAAGTTTCTAACTGAAATTTTCGTTAACTTGTAAATCCTTCTTTATACGTTAAACTTTAAACATCAACTTTCTGTTATAGTTTATCATAATGATGGCAATTATAGAGCAATTATTTATTATGTAATTTTAGTTAATAAAACTTACATTCAATCCTAAACTCAGGTTTTAGAGATTTTTTTACAAATAGAAGCAATAACTAATTAATTAGTACCTACTTTTGTTTACATAAGTCAAAACTGATTTAAAGATGTGTAATTTCAAATTCAGAATCTTCTTTTAAAGCAGCCAAGAATGCTTCTGGGTTATCAGTATGACATTTAAATTTTTCTTCTGATTTTTCTATAAATTTTTTAATCTTCTCATCTTCTAAGTCTTCACCGACGTATCTAAATCTGCCTTGGCTGAAATTTTTATTTGTTTCTTCTTCGTACAATTTCACGTATTCTTCGTTTGTTCGGAAGAATTCTTCGTTAGATCTAAGCATGTTATTGGCTTCAGTAGGATCGAAACTCGGTAAATTACCTCCTAATTCCAAAGGCAGACAATCTGGACTGATGAATTCGTGCAAAGTATCCACATCCGAATGCAAATGTACCTGTAATTTGAATTTTATTTTCATAAATTATTTTATTGACCAGGTGTATACAAACAATAAAGTAAGTTATGTAAAGTTAAAATGGATAGAACATTAAAAATTAAGTAAAAATGTAACTGCTTGTGAGTAAATTGAGAAATAGAAGACTACATTAAAAAAGTTTAACAACCTGTTAAAATTTGGGGTTGAAAAAATATATAACACGTTATAAAATAACATATATATTCTTTTATGTTTATAAATTAATAAGAAAATTGCCATTACTTACCCTCTTCCGGAGTTTGTCTGGTAGAAGTGGAAGTAAAATACTTAAAATAGCTTTTATTACGACATTCATGTTTACATAATGTATCGCCTTGTATCGCATTTGATAAGAATCTTTCTGTTTTAAAAATATTTAAAGCATAATTAAAATGTTTATAATGTCAGCAGTAATTGTCTTTAAAGAGAATTTCTTTATTATAAAGTAGTTAAATTAGCCTATATATTCAGTGTATAAAAATCTGTATATATAATATAGGTCTATTATATAATTGTTGGGCTGCAATTTAAAAACTTGTAGACCATAAATTCCCACTGTCGTTTGTCTGTCCGTCCGTCTGTCTTTCCTTAATATCGACAAAGAAGTTAGTTAGATAAATACGTGACCTAACGTGAAAACCTTAAGAGTGGAAGGCCAGAATTATTTGAAAATGTGCTAAAAATAAAAAATAAATAAAGCTGTTATTTTTCACCTTCAAAACAAGTACATTTTATTATAAAGATTTTCCTCTTCACCGCGTCGTTCGGGAGATATTTCACTTTTCAGCTTAAATGTCTATTCCTATATAATTAATTAACGTTTATTCAGTATATTATATAGTATATTCCGTCCATTCCGTCCATAGTATATTCCGTTCAGTATATTATATAGCAATTCGTCCATTAGTTGATCAGAATGGCGCCGTATTAGCGAAATGACGGATAACTGAAAGTGAACATTCCTAAATCCTCCATAAACTGGAAAACAGTATGTATGACATTAACATTTTCATAAAAACGGTAACGCATGGACATAATGCAGGATATGCCGGATAGTTGAGCAAGAGAATTCTAAAGGATTCACTAATTCTATTAGAATTTTTGCTTCTCTTTTTAGTGAATAACGCCATTATCATTTCTAATAGTAACAAAATAGCCTGATACACCTTATGTATTATTATTTTTAATAATAAATCAAAAAATTTAGACACGAAGTTGTGTACCCATCGGTACTATTTACCTGATAATATATATTATTAATTTATATTTACATGTTATCACTATGTATACGTAGATATATATATCTCAAGAATGTACAGTACTTACAAGAATAAGCATTACTAAAGAACTTATGGCTCTGGGTGATAAATGATAGAAATGTGACAAATTCATTCCTCCTGTGTCTATAACACAAACGATTTTCTTAGCTTGAGTTCGATGAAAATTCAATTGTAAGTCCATGTAAAGCAATACACAACGCCATACATCGGTTACACTTGAAACAGAAGGATCCCAATTGACTGAAAGAAAATATAAAGAATAGAATCATAGTTTTGGTAAATTAAATAATAAATAGATTTCTACTTACCAACTCGAAAAAGGTAAATATAACATCCATCTTGGTCAAGATTCGGAAGAAATTGCAAAATCTTCAGGTTCAAAGCATGCTCCAACTTGGAGGGAAGAAGATCCTTAGAGTATTGTGGATAATTTACTCTCACGTTATAGTAATTCTTGAGCAGCTGAAGCGATCTCTGCAAGTCAAATTTTCTAGCACGAAGAAAACCCAGAAGAAAAATGTCATCCATACGACATTTAATCCCTTGATCTTCTAATTTAAATAATAGGGAAAACATATATTTATTCGATACGTTTTTAAAATTAGTATTAAAATGCTTTAAAAATATCGTATTTATATTTTTAAATGTTCCTATACGTTAGTATAAAAGCGGATGAAAATTTCTTTGATTTCTATGAAATATAAATGAATAATTTTACTTAATAGAAAACGAAATTAATCTCCATTATACGTTGGATTAACTTTAATCTCGTATAATTAAATTTATGTTATATAGTTCAGTTACAAAGAATGGCCTCTTAGCTCATCCACCTCTACCCTTCGCTCACTTTCACGTAGTGGAGCATGTTAAGTCGAGCGTCGACGAAAAAACGAACGTAAAGGGGACCCCTTGCAGGGTCCCCTTTACGTTCGTTTTTTCGTCGACGCTCCCTTGTAGTTCTCCTCCACAAGGGAGCACCCGTAAAGGGGACCCTGCAAGGTTTACCCTTTACGGTGCCACAGTGGAGAAGGGCCACAAGGGCTTTACAGTGCTACAGTGGAGGAGGGCTAATACTTTAGTGCCACAGTGGAGGAGGGTTTTCCGGAATAGGCTGCCGTAGGAGGCGTGGCGGTATCTGTAAATAGCAGACGACCATCTGTCGCTTAAGGCCTGTAGTAAGTCTCTAGGAGCCCAGGTGCTAGGCCATTGCCAAATCCTTGCTAAGCCAGGTACCTCAGTCCAGGTTAGAAAAAATGGGAAGATTGGTGTCTGGTTGGCGGCCGACTGTAAAAACCCCAGCCAAATCTTTTTTTATGAAATGTCTGATGCCACTTTGAGATGTGATGTGATAATACTAGGATGTACGATATGATAGAGTGCTTATTAACAAAATACAGTGTTAAAGATTTATTCTTTAATGTTAAAAATAACATTAATTTATAGGGGTAGGAACCACTACGAGCCTTTTATAAACTCTAGAAAAGTGTAAAGAATGTTTTTGTAAGAATAAATAAATATTTTCTTAAAAATTTTTAATTATTGTAATTAGAAATGTAAAATATATATTAAAAATAGTAAATTTCATATTAGAGGTAACATATATGTGGATTAATTTTCTTTCTTTTATCTTATATAATCATTAAAAATTGTTATTATGTCCGAGTTTAAACTAACAAACCTGATTATATAACAAAAACATTGGAGAAATAGTAACCTATTTCTTCTTTTTTTTACCTTGCCAGAGAAATCCGGTTTCTTTTTATGTCACGTTATATAATTATATAAAATTTGATAAAAGAAATAAATCTTTATACTGCATTAAAAAAAAACTCTTAATGCTAACAACAAGTAAAATCTTCATTAAGTCTGACTGTACTCATATCACAACCTCTATCTCTCCACCCCCTTGATCTTTAATTACCGAAATTTAACAAAGTTAATCTCCTAAATCCCCAAACCCCATGCAAAATTTGATAAAATTTTGACAAAAATTATTATTAAGGTTCGAAAACTCATACTTTTCCTCTGTTATATGTATAACAGAGCAGGGACAGTAAAGGTTAAAGTAAATAAAAGTGTTTAATACGTGACCTAACGTGAAAACCTTAAGAGTGGAAGGCCAGAATTATTTGAAAATGTGCTAAAAATAAAAAATAAATAAAGCTGTTATTTTTCACCTTCAAAACAAGTACATTTTATTATAAAGATTTTCCTCTTCACCGCGTCGTTCGGGAGATATTTCACTTTTCAGCTTAAATGTCTATTCCTATATAATTAATTAACGTTTATTCAGTATATTATATAGTATATTCCGTCCATTCCGTCCATAGTATATTCCGTTCAGTATATTATATAGCAATTCGTCCATTAGTTGATCAGAATGGCGCCGTATTAGCGAAATGACGGATAACTGAAAGTGAACATTCCTAAATCCTCCATAAACTGGAAAACAGTATGTATGACATTAACATTTTCATAAAAACGGTAACGCATGGACATAATGCAGGATATGCCGGATAGTTGAGCAAGAGAATTCTAAAGGATTCACTAATTCTATTAGAATTTTTGCTTCTCTTTTTAGTGAATAACGCCATTATCATTTCTAATAGTAACAAAATAGCCTGATACACCTTATGTATTATTATTTTTAATAATAAATCAAAAAATTTAGACACGAAGTTGTGTACCCATCGGTACTATTTACCTGATAATATATATTATTAATTTATATTTACATGTTATCACTATGTATACGTAGATATATATATCTCAAGAATGTACAGTACTTACAAGAATAAGCATTACTAAAGAACTTATGGCTCTGGGTGATAAATGATAGAAATGTGACAAATTCATTCCTCCTGTGTCTATAACACAAACGATTTTCTTAGCTTGAGTTCGATGAAAATTCAATTGTAAGTCCATGTAAAGCAATACACAACGCCATACATCGGTTACACTTGAAACAGAAGGATCCCAATTGACTGAAAGAAAATATAAAGAATAGAATCATAGTTTTGGTAAATTAAATAATAAATAGATTTCTACTTACCAACTCGAAAAAGGTAAATNGAGGGTCGGTTAACCGAGGTGACGGTTAATCGGAGGTCGGATAATCGAGGCTCTACTGTACTAATAAAAAAAAAGGTCCACTGTGCCCAATGTTACGAATAATTTGAAATAATTTAATTTTGTGTTAGGTTGGCCTCTACTAGTCCCCCACAACAAAACTCTGGCTACGCCCATGCATCTAACTATTAACTAATGTATAAACTTTAATTTTAGTTATATAGATTATTATGCAATTCTATATCTAATTGTATTATTATTATTGTGTTGGATTTAGTGGGTAATACTCGGTTTAAACCGGTGGCTGTGTACTATGCCGGATCAGAGTCAAGGCATAGCAACCAAAACTAATTAAATAAGTGTGTCAGTGTCAGTGTCTGTATTCAGGAATTTCCTAACAATATGACATGTATTCAATATAGTGGCCTTCTGTAGTGTGATGTATGNGAGAACTGTTAGATTTAACTATTAACTAATGTATAAACTTTAATTTTAGTTATATAGATTATTATGCAATTCTATATCTAGTTGTATTATTATTATTAAATATAGCCTATTTAAAGAAAGTTCCTAACTAAAATTTTCGTTAAGTTGTAAATTCTTCCTTGTCTGTTAAGATTCAAACTTTCTGTGACCGTTTATCATAATGATGGCAATTACAGAGAAATCATTTATTATGTAATTTTAGTTAATAAAACTTACATTCAATCCTAAACATAGGTTTTAGAGATTGTTTTACAAATGGAAGCAGTATCTGATTAACTAGTACCTACTTTTGTTTACATAAGTCAAAACTGATTTAAAAATGTGTAATTTCAAATTCAGAATCTTCTTTTAAAGCAGCCAAGAATGCTTCTGGGTTATCAGTATGACATTTAAATTTTTCTTCTGATTTTTCTATAAATTTTTTAATCTTCTCATCTTCTAAATCTTCACCGACGTATCTAAATGTACCTTGGCTGAAATTTTTATTTGTTTCTTCTTCGTACAATTTCACGTATTCTTCGTTTGTTCGGAAGAATTCTTCGTTAGATCTAAGCATGTTATTGGCTTCAGTAGGATCGAAACTCGGTAAATTACCTCCTAATTCCAAAGGCAGACAATCTGGACTGATGAATTCGTGTAAAGTACCCACATCCGAATGCAAATGTACCTGTAATTTGAATTTTATTTTCATAAATTATTTTATTGACCAGGTGTATACAAACAATAAAGTAAGTTATGTAAAGTTAAAATGGATAGAATATTAAAAACTATGTAAAAACGTAACTGCTTGTGAGTAAATTGAGAAATAGAAGACTACATTAAAAAAGTTTAACAACCTGTTAAAATTTGGGGTTGAAAAAATATATAACACGTTATAAAATAACATATATATTCTTTTATGTTTATAAATTAATAAGAAAATTGCCATTACTTACCCTCTTCCGGAGTTTGTCTGGTAGAAGTGGAAGTAAAATACTTAAAATAGCTTTTATTACGACATTCATGTTTACATAATGTATCGCCTTGTATCGCATTTGATAAGAATCTTTCTGTTTTAAAAATATTTAAAGCATAATTAAAATGTTTATAATGTCAGCAGT